ACTGAACTTTTCATCCCTCTGACTGTTCCTTTAACTTTTTATTTCAGTTCTGTAACTATTATCCACCAAAGTTATCCTCATGGAGTCTCAATAGTCTCATATTTCAAAATAAAAGCACCAAGTTTTCATTGAATGCCAGGATGATGTTTTATTTGTTCAGGGCCTGGGAGTACAGACCTCCAACACTGTAAAACTCAAAATGATCAGTCTGTCACAACGAAGGGTTAAACAATGGAAGAGGACCCAAACGTGCAGACTGGAGAAATGGATTTGATAAAAAGAAACTAAATAAAATAAAGAAAGAAAAAGAAACTGGGAAAAACTCATTCACTCAAAAACTTACATAAACAGACAGACAATGAAGCAACCAGAACAGAAGAGAAGACAGGGACTATAAACACAGACAGGTAACTGAGACACAGGTGAGACGGATGGGTGATTAACGAAGGAGGAACGCAGGACTAGAAACAAACAAGGAATCAACTCCTACAAAATAAAAGACTGAGAACAGGAGGGAAACACAAACTGAAAACTCAGCAGACTGGACTTCAGGAGATCAGGAGAGAAAATACACTTAAACAAAACTATATTTACAGAACGTATCATGACAGAGTCTCCTCAAATATCGTAAAAATACGATGATCTAAAAATAAACACACTTTAGTATTTTAACATGAAGCCTTATGGGTTTCCTCTGCTGTTACAGACAGACTCTAGTGGAGACTTGAGGAACTGCAGTCTCATTGGCTTCATTTTGTCACACTAAACTTTTTTAATTAATTTTTACTTTTTTTAAACTCAGATCTTTTATTTCCTCTTTTTCTTTTTTCCTTCATAAATTGATGAAAGTTTGTTGTTTTTTTGTTTCTTCCTCTTAGAAAACAGAAACTCTGACCTGAGGAGACCCGACAGGGATCTCCTCTTACCTGGAGACAAACTGAGATTAAACAGTCCAACTGTGAATCCAGGTGAGTCTGAGAGTCCCTGAAGACCTGCAGACCCGAGTGTCCCTGCAGACCTGGGTGTCCCTGCAGACCTGACTGTCCCTGTAGACCTGAGTGTCCCTGCAGACCTGAGTGTCCCTGAAGACCTGAAGACCTGAGTGTCCCTGCAGACCTGAGTGTCCCTGCAGACCTGAGTGTCCCTGCAGACCTGAAGACCTGAGTGTCCCTGCAGACCTGAAGACCTGGGTGTCCCTGCAGACCTGAGTGTCCCTGCAGACCTGAGTGTCCCTGAAGACCTGAGTGTCCCTGCAGACCTGGGTGTCCCTGCAGACCTGGGTGTCCCTGCAGACCTGGGTGTCCCTGCAGAGCTGAGTGTCCCTGCAGACCTGAGTGTCCCTGCAGACCTGGGTGTCCCTGCAGACCTGAAGACCTGGGTGTCCCTGCAGACCTGGGTGTCCCTGCAGACCTGGGTGTCCCTGCAGAGCTGAGTGTCCCTGCAGACCCGGGTGTCCCTGCAGACCCGAGTGTCCCTGCAGACCCGGGTGTCCCTGAAGACCTGAGTGTCCCTGCAGACCTGGGTGTCCCTGCAGACCTGGGTGTCCCTGCAGACCTGAAGACCTGGGTGTCCCTGCAGACCTGAGTGTCCCTGCAGACCTGGGTGTCCCTGCAGACCTGCAGACCTGGGTGTCCCTGCAGACCTGGGTGTTCCTGAAGACCTGCAGACCTGGGTGTCCCTGCAGACCTGGGTGTCCCTGCAGACCCGAGTGTCCCTGCAGACCTGGGTGTCCCTGCAGACCTGAGTGTCCCTGCAGACCTGCAGACCTGAGTGTCCCTGCAGACCTGGGTGTCCCTGCAGACCTGAGTGTCCCTGCAGACCTCAGTGTCCCTGCAGACCTCAGTGTCCCTGCAGACCTGAAGACCTGGGTGTCCCTGCAGACCTGGGTGTCCCTGCAGACCTGGGTGTCCCTGAAGACCTGGGTGTCCCTGCAGACCTGCAGACCTGGGTGTCCCTGCAGACCTGGGTGTTCCTGAAGACCTGCAGACCTGGGTGTCCCTGCAGACCTGGGTGTCCCTGCAGACCCGAGTGTCCCTGCAGACCTGGGTGTCCCTGCAGACCTGAGTGTCCCTGCAGACCTGGGTGTCCCTGCAGACCTGAGTGTCCCTGCAGACCTGCAGACCTGAGTGTCCCTGCAGACCTGGGTGTCCCTGCAGACCTGAGTGTCCCTGCAGACCTCAGTGTCCCTGCAGACCTCAGTGTCCCTGCAGACCTGGGTGTCCCTGCAGACCTGAAGACCTGGGTGTCCCTGCAGACCTGAGTGTCCCTGCAGACCTGGGTGTCCCTGCAGACCTGAGTGTCCCTGCAGACCTGGGTGTCCCTGCAGACCTGGGTGTTCCTGAAGACCTGCAGACCTGGGTGTCCCTGCAGACCTGGGTGTCCCTGAAGACCTGGGTGTCCCTGCAGACCTGCAGACCTGGGTGTCCCTGCAGACCTGGGTGTTCCTGAAGACCTGCAGACCTGGGTGTCCCTGCAGACCTGGGTGTCCCTGCAGACCCGAGTGTCCCTGCAGACCTGGGTGTCCCTGCAGACCTGAGTGTCCCTGCAGACCTGCAGACCTGAGTGTCCCTGCAGACCTGGGTGTCCCTGCAGACCTGAGTGTCCCTGCAGACCTCAGTGTCCCTGCAGACCTCAGTGTCCCTGCAGACCTGAAGACCTGGGTGTCCCTGCAGACCTGGGTGTCCCTGAAGACCTGGGTGTCCCTGCAGACCTGCAGACCTGGGTGTCCCTGCAGACCTGGGTGTTCCTGAAGACCTGCAGACCTGGGTGTCCCTGCAGACCTGGGTGTCCCTGCAGACCCGAGTGTCCCTGCAGACCTGGGTGTCCCTGCAGACCTGAGTGTCCCTGCAGACCTGGGTGTCCCTGCAGACCTGAGTGTCCCTGCAGACCTGCAGACCTGAGTGTCCCTGCAGACCTGGGTGTCCCTGCAGACCTGAGTGTCCCTGCAGACCTGACTGTCCCTGCAGACCTGAGTGTCCCTGCAGACCTGGGTGTCCCTGCAGACCTGAAGACCTGGGTGTCCCTGCAGACCTGAGTGTCCCTGCAGACCTGGGTGTCCCTGCAGACCTGAAGACCTGGGTGTCCCTGCAGACCTGAGTGTCCCTGCAGACCTGGGTGTCCCTGCAGACCTGAGTGTCCCTGCAGACCTCAGTGTCCCTGCAGACCTGGGTGTCCCTGCAGACCTGAAGACCTGGGTGTCCCTGCAGACCTGGGTGTCCCTGCAGACCTGGGTGTCCCTGCAGACCTGGGTGTCCCTGCAGACCTGGGTGTCCCTGCAGACCTGAGTGTCCCTGCAGACCTGAGTGTCCCTGCAGACCTGGGTGTCCCTGCTGTCCTCACCTTTGTTTGTATTTTACTGAGAAACCAGGAGGATCAAGAAAAAATCATAGAAAACATGAAACCAAAGAAATAAAGTCACTGAGACAGTTTTTACAGCAGAGACATGAACCCTTACAGCGTCCGTCTTTATGAAGGACTTTATTTCTCGTAAACACAAAGAGTCTGACTGTGAGACAGAGACCTGGACTATCCTAACCCCTCACAGTCTCGGTCTGAACACAGAGTTCTGGTCTTGTATTTCAGAGTCGGTTCTGCCCAGCTCACCTCAGACGAGCCTTCTGACCCGGTTTTACCCAGGCTCAGTCCCACAGAGAAAGTGACCTGACGTGAGCTCTCTGCACTCGCTGGTCTGTAAACCCCTCAGAGGTTCAGGACTTAAATACTTCAGGTCATCAGGATTTAATGCTGGGACTGGACTCCCCTCACCCTTTAACTGGATTAGGACTCAGCTGATAATCTGCACTTTATTTCCCATGAGGTCAGAGATGAGGATGAATGAATGAATGAATGAGTGAGTGAGTCCCTCTGCTGTCCTCGACACGTGGGACGTTAGCCTGAAATGTTTTCATCTGAAACACGTTGAAGTGGAGCTGCATTCAAAGCCACCTGTCAATCAAAGTAGCCACGCCCCAAACCAGTGTTGGGTAGTAACGCCGTTAATTTGTTCAGTTACTAATAATTTAAGGCGTTGTTTTTTTTAAATTCAGTAATTCAGCGTTTCCGTTACCAAACGCTGCATCGATGAACGCGTCTGTTTTCATACATGCGAGGTTACGGTCGCTGCAGCGCTCCGACAAACCAAAAGGATTTGAAGTGCTCCTTATAGTGCGAAGAATACGGTACTCTGTTCCTTTAGGTGAGGTTTTACAACGACACACAGTTTCCATAACATGTTAGCGATCAATAAAGTTTAGTTGACGTGGAAAAACAAAGCTCTACACGTAATCAAACATGCGCCGTGAAGAGGACAGGTCAGGGAACGGCGTGATGGCGAGAACGGGAGGATAAGTTTCTCCTCTTATTTTTAACTGGAGAGCAAAAAGAAAAACATCATTTCAGTGACATGTAAACTGTCCGGGTCAAAACTCCTCTACGGCGAACAGCAGCAAAAGTCTAGAGGAGTGACACGCTTCCACAAAGTTAGCAGCTGAGGTGACGCAGCATCCACGACCGAGAGTCACAGCAGCGAGGACACGCCCACTCCACCTGAGTTCAACAGACGGATCCATGTGCAGGTATCAGGTCATGTGGAGGTTTGTGTTTGTGAATAACGGATCCTAATGTTTGTGGATGTAAACGAACGTAAACGTTTGTTTTAATGAAATAAACTCAGTTTATCCTCCTTCATGTATTTGGAGCATCAGAGGAACGTTCTACAGGAACTAAACACAGACTTTCTCAGTAATGCAGAACTTTTTGGTTTAAGTTACTTTTTTACAAAGTAACTAGTAACTTTAACTAGTGAGTATTTTGCAGTAACCGACCCTGTAAAACTGTCTCCAACCCTGCACGAGTGAGGAGCGTTCTGCTCTGATCAAAGTTCTCTGTGGACCAGAAACACCTTCAGGTCCGACTCTGTGGGAGTCTCCTCTCTCCTGGTGGACACTGGAGGAACTGCACTTTTCAGGACTCCTGCAGTTCTGGTTTTGCACCTTGTTGCATCAGTGCAGGAATGTTTCCAACCCCCTCCTCTCCTCCTCTTCTTGGTATTTCCAGCCGTTAAGAGGAAACGCTCCCTCTCCCTCCCTCTCCCTCTCCCTCTCTTTCTGAATGTCTTCCCGCCTTTCTCTCTCTCTGTAAACAAACTGTTCCTGCAGCTGAAGTCCGACCCCGCCGCCGCCGCCGCTGCTTCTGCAGAATAACGGCTCCAGAGGCTGAAATCAGAGTCAGAGTTTCAACAAAACAACGACTGTTTCCACTGAAGCTTTCTGCGTTTCCTCTGGATTTCCATTGCATCATCAGAGCGGGGAGGAGGAGGCGGAGCCGCTCTTGACCTTTGATATGAGATCCATGTCAACACGTGTGAATGTGAAACAGTGACAGGAACACTTCGAACCCTGCAGCTCCTCTTTCTGCTTGGGTTTGTTGTTGTTTTTAAACTTTAGACTCCAATCAGGTCATTTCAGCGGAGCTGTCTGCACCGACAACAACATGCAAAACTCTGATTGTAGTTTATATAAATGTGTGTATTTGTGGTTTCATGTGTGTATCTGACCTCTAATCTGGAGGTTAAACTGCTGTGACGCTCAGAGATGATAATCAGACTCTGAAGAGAGAAACACGACCTGAGGGAGTGACGGGGATTTTATACTAAACTCATAAAAGTTTAAACGTTTCCTTGACTGGAGTTTTTCTCATGAGAAGATCCTCACAGCGTCCTCAGACTCCATCAGCTGACAGTCAGGGTTGGTGTGGAGGAACACTGAGAACTTTGTCCCAGAGGAAAAACTGTGGAGCTGTGAAAACATCAGCTCAAATACACACACGTGTGTTTCTCATGACCTCCTCCGAGCAGCTGCTGGACGTTCAGCTGAAGTCTCTCCACCTCATACAACCTCATTAAAACAACATGAACCGTCCTGTCGGAGGAGAAGCTGCAGATCATCCACTCAGTCCTCTGACTCTTCATCAGCGTCTCTGCGCTCATCCTCCTCATCCTCCCTCTGTGCAGAAATCAAACAGCTGAGAGTCACAGCAGATCACTGTTCTTCTACTACAGAGGGGCTGACGCGGGATCAGTGTGAACCAGGCTGATCGACCTCACAGTAGAGCTGAGCGAGACGGGAAACAGTTTATCAGGATATATAATTTTCCTATCAGCTGATATCGATCAATATCAGGATATAACAATCTAACAGTGTTTATTGGTCTCATGTCTTTTCCAACACAATAATCTCCTGCATCTGTGAGGTCTTTGTGTCTCTTTGGCGTTTTGTCGTAAGACGTCGCTCTAGAGCAGTAGTTCTTAACCACGGTTCTATCGAACCCTAGGGGTTCGGTGAGTCGGTCTCAGGGGTTCGGCGGAGCCTCCGCCACGGTAGCCTGGCTGGGCCGTCCTGTTGCGTGAATCACTTGACGTTCCTTCCCACCACAGTCTGGACTTCGGCCCATAGAGAGCGTGTATTCCTGATCAGAAAATAACCGGGCCAATCAGAGACCGTGTTTCCACTGTTACCCGGACAACAGGGAAAGGCAGCCCCTGATTGGTCCATCTGAAGTGGTGACGTCTACCACATGCTCCCTGTTCATTCAGAACGCCGTTAATTCCGCAGTTGACTTTGCAAAGTCGGCAGAAATTGTTTATATCCGACGTCTTCTGTGGATCTAAACGATTTCCGACGACTTTGCAGAGTCAACTGCGGAATTAACGGCGTTCTGAATACCTATGTCTTGAATTTGGAAAAAAATCACATTTGATTTATCACTAAAGAAGGGTTCGGTGAATGTGCATATGAAACTGGGGAGTTCGGTACCTCAAACAGGGTTAAGAACCACTGCTCTAGAGAAAGCCGACTGAATGCTCGTCTGTTTCGGCTCCTCGCTCCTCTCGGGGTTTGTAACCTCTGGCGTTGCGCGTGCTCTGCGGCGTGGCGCTGCTCCAGGTGGTGAAAAAGATTTGAGGTATTCCCCGACTTTGTCTCCTGTGTCTCTTCATCAGGAAAAATGAATAAAAACACATTTTTAAGAAGAACTCAGGACCTCTGAAGTTCTGATTCCTGCACCTCCTCGTGTCTCGTTCTCCCTGTCAGGTGTGAGTCGGGGTCAAAGGTGACATTTTAGGGAACGGTTGGAGGACATTTTCAGGAGTGGAGTTCATGTTTGAACACAGTGTATTTGTGTGGGTGTGTGTGTGTGTGTGTGGGTGTGTGTGTGTGTGTGGGTGGGTAGTGGGGGTCTGAGGTCTTCCTGCTGGTCTTCGGTCTCAGATCAGCTCAGAGTTCAGGATTCCTGCTTCATGACGTGTTTTCCAGAACAAGCAGTCCTCAGGTCAGGTTAGTGTTTCACTGGAACACACACAGACACACACACAGACACACACACAGACACACACACACACACACACACACACACAGACACAGACACACACACAGGTTGGTTTATTTTGTTTTTTGTTCTCTGGTTGTGTTCTGACCTTTAAAGGTTTGTTTTGATCTGAGTCCAGGTGACGTCCTGTACCTGATCAGGGTGTTCTCTGAGTGTGTGTGTGTGTGTGTGTGTGTGTGTGTGTGTGTGTGTGTGTGTGTCCGGTCCAGGTTTGAGTGTGTCAGTTTTTACTATCTGTTGCTCTGATTGGCTGCTGATGCTGTGACATCACTATTGCCCATATATGGCGTTGTTGGACAGGTACTGGTGTCCAAGGCCACGGTCCAGGTTTAGTGGTATTTATGAGTTTATGACAGTCCTGGATCAGCTCTGGAGACAGACTGAGAACCGTCAGAGTCGGGAAACCTAAAGGAACGACAGAAATACAGACTCACTGAACATCTGAAAATCATGGTCTGAACTGTGGCCTGCCTGAACTAACACCATCATCAGATACAAGCAGAGGTGGGAGAAAGTCACTCATGTGGAAGTCACAGGTAAGTCCAAAAAGTCGAGTCGAGTCATTTCTCAGGTCAACTAAGTCACAGCTATACTAAATTCTGATACTCTAACACCGTCTCTACATTCAGATCAGTTAAGACCGTTATAATTCAACAACGCAGCGTCACAAAGTCAGTAGGAAATGCGACCATTAAAAGGGACCGTCCGGAGTTATCTAGTACCATCCGGCAGAGGCGGTCTGAACTGTCACCCCTATACTCCGCGACGTTTAAGCTAGGCTAAGTTAGCGGTCCGCTAACTATTTAAGTCTGATACTCCTTAGTATTAGTAATTATTAATTATTTGGTATATATATATATTATATATATTATTATTATTATATTATATATTATTATTTATTAATTAAGTATTAATATATATAGTATTCCACAGACAAAAGGGGACTCAGGTAAGACACGAATGTTGAAGTATCACTTTAAAGCCGATGTTAGTTTAAATATGCTACGACGTTAGCATTCATGTTAGCACACGTTACCTTTCTGAGTAACATTTTACAAGCTAACACGTTCGCTAAGAGCATTTTTACCGCGCATTTTATTGAGAAGACATAAACAATAAGGAGCTTGTCTCGGTGATAATTCTGCTATCAAAGAAACGGTGGCTTTCTAACAGGCGTAACAGCTAGCTCACAAAGGTTATTCACCTAGCTTACCTTTCTTTGTGGGTGTTGTAGTGACGGATAAAGTTCTCCTCTTCATACTGTCATCGACAACAAAATCCCTAAATCCAAACTGAATTATTCTCGGTCGGACTGCTGCTCCTGTGCCGACCTGCAGCGTGCTGCTGCGTGCATCGCGCCGTGTTATCACCCGATCATGTTTCAAAATAAAACTCAGTTTCTAACGTGGTCTAACTTTGATAGAATAAAATTAAAAAACGACAAAGATACAAATATTAAGATGAAAAAAGTCTTTTTGAGTCATCCGTCTCAAGTCTAAGTCAAGTCTCGAGTCATAAAAACCAAGTCAAAGTCCAGTCAAGTCTTTTGTCGGTGTTGGTCAAGCAAGTCTCAAGTCCTTAAATTTGAGACTCGAGTCTGACTCGAGTCATATCATGTGACTCGAGTCCCTCACCTCTAGCCTGGCTGGGCCATCCTGTTGCGTGAATCACTTGACGTTCCTTCCCACAACAGTCTGGACTTCGGCCCATTGGAAGCCCTGAAAGTGGGCAGGAGTACTTTCCTTGATAGACAGACTACTGTAACCAATCACCGTAACCAAGCATCTGATGTCATCACAGTTGCTTGGTTACGGTGATTGGTTACAGTAGTACATAGACCAATCAGGGGCTGCCTTTCCCTGTTGTCCAGGTAACAGTGAAAACACGGTCTCTGATTGGCCCGGTTATTTTCTGATTGGGAATACACGCTCTCTATGGGCCGAAGTCCAGACTGTGGTGGGAAGGAACGTCAAGTGATTCACGCAACAGGACGGCCCAGCCAGGCTACCTTACCTCTGGATTAAAGAAGTGGGATTGGGGACAGAGAGCTGCAGGATGAAGTAGATTTTTTAATCTGATCCTATAGGCTGGAAATTTAAGACATAATTTTAATGATGTATTTATTTATACAGACACTCACATTAACGAGTGGATCATGTGATGACTGACTTTGTTATTATGAACACAGACAGACCTGACCTCTGCTGCCCCACAGCTGAAATACAGAATAATGTCGGCCTCCAAAGTTCGTGATAATAATGACTCAAAGAGGGGGGGGAGGGTATCCAGGAATAGAAAACTGGACTCAGAGACAGAGAGGAAGTCCAGAGTCCAGAGGAGCGTTCTCCTCATTCTTCACATTCCTCTCATATCTCACACTTCCTCCCTCTCTCTCTCTCTCTCTCTCTCTCTCTGTGGATCTTTCCAGTAAATCGCTTCTTCTTCCAGGACACTGAGCCAACTACCTGCTTCCTTATTTGGTCATTGAGACGATTAAAAGGAACTGATGATTAAAAAAAAAGAGAAAGTCCTGGAAAAACCCAAACAGAGAAGAAAACATGTCCGTTTGTTTTTCCTCCAGGATTCTGAGGAATTTACTCCAGAGAAGGAGAAAAACAGCTGATCGCCCTCTGACTCATCAGCTGGTCGGTCCAAACTGAGGTTCCCTTTTTCTAATACAGAGTCCTGCAGCTGATAGGAAAACAAGAGTAAGTGTGTGTGCAGAGTCTCAGTTTCTCTGTAAATAAAGTAAAACTACAAAGTAAAGGAACACAGACCAGGACCCTGTTCTGACCCGGATCCTGGAAACTGGACCTCAGACCGTCTCATTGTTCAGAACCCAACAGGACTCAGTGTGTGTGTGTGTGTGTGTGTGTGTTAGGTGTACACAGCAACAGCACAGAGTCGTCTCCCACGGCAACAGAGTTGTTTGGGAATCCCTCCGTCTGCTGCTGATGGAGGCCAGCGGAGGGGGCGGGGCATAAGGGGGCCTTTATTAGACGACCCAGAATCCCGCAGGGCTTGAGGTGTGTGTGTGTGTGTGTATGTGTGTGTGTGTGTGTGTGTGTGAGAGTGTGTGTGTGTGTGTTTGAGGACCAAACTGTAAAAATAAACCTTTAAAATCTTCAAACAGTTTCTGGCCTGTGCTGAGTCATGGGGGGGGGGGGGGGACTGCTGCTGGTTTTACAGTAACAACACACACACACACACACACACACACACACACACATACACACACACACACACACACAAACTTTGAGCATGAAGAACATTAGAGAGAAGAACGAGTAAAAACTCTCGGTCCCAATAAGAAGAACCAAAGTCAATCAGTCAGGAGTCCTCGGTCGTACGCAGAATTTTCACCACATCAGAACGGCTACGATCCGGAATGGCGGCGATTTTCGCCGTCCACCAATTCTTACCTGATCAATTTGTGAGGCGAATTTTGTGGCAACTTCCAGACAACAGGAATCACGAGAACTCACAAACACCCACAAATTCACGTTCAACCTCACGATAACGAGTTGTCTCTCTAAAGACAGACACATAGACATATAAGCAGTAGATTGTGTCCTTCCAGAGGAGGAAATCTACTTCTAGACTTCTAGAATCAGCATCTCCTCATCCATGGTGTCATCGGGGTGAAATGACGTCTAAAAACCTTTCACTTGTTCGTCTCCGCCCGTTTGCATGGTGTGAAATACGATCCTCCTGAAACACGGAGTGTTTTATTTTGAAAAGAAGCAGGATGTTTTATTTTGAAAAGAAGCCGGATGTTTTATTTTGTGTCTGTGCCCGACTTCCTTTCCAGCACGGGTTAATCTGTGCTGAATTTATCCGCCATGCTCCGGCGTCCAGAAAAAATAGAACTCTTGTGATCAGCTGAGGAGTCTGGCGATCCGCAGAGGAACGGAAAGAAGTCGGTGTAAATTGACACGTTAACTTCAATCATAGTTCCTCCAATCATAGTTGACCATAATGCCTACAACACTACTGCGCGATGTTGGTTTCAGGAAATGGAGAAAAAACAATCTCTATAGAGGAGGAAGGAGGAGCCACGCTGTTCAGAGTAAAGACAGTCAGCGGTCTGGACAGCTGGGTGATCAGTGTTGAAGGTGAAGTTTGTGGATAATTTTCAGTAAAGGTCAGCAGGAGCAGAAAGGACTCACACTGAGGACGCTTAATGATGCGAAGACGAGGAGAGAAGGAGGGTCAAAGGTCGCTGATTTCAGGTTTAATCCTCAGAAAAAAACAAACAGAGACAGAAGCCAAACTGTCAGAGCAGCTGTGTGAGCGGATTAACGCTCACACACTAACACACATTCACACACGCACACACGGAGGCGGGGGGGGGACGACGACGCCAACTGAAGCTCATTAATCCACATGAAGAGGCTCTGATCCAATTAAGACGCTCATGAAGGACTAACGAGGATCAGTTTAACGAGACGCTGCACAACTTTCCGTTTTTATGACGTCAGGAGAGAAATGTGTCGTAGATTCCTTTTAGTCTAAACTAAAGACCGACCTTTTTGTTTTAATCTTTTAATCTGCATCATGAGATTTTATCCTATTTTAGTCCTAGAGTTATTATTTTTTATTACCTCTTTTAATTTTCTTTCTGTTATTGTTTGATTTTATTTCATTAACTTTTAACACTTTATCACCTTTATTATATTTTATCATTTTAGTCCGAGATCCAGTGTTTCCTTTCGCCTTAGGCAAAACGTCTCAACTCAGTCCAGTTGTCCTTTCGACATAGAATTAGAAATCATTCAGTCCGTTTCCATGACACTCAAAAAAAACCGAATTATCGCCTTTTTCCGATTAAGACTGGACAACTGAAGGTCATGTAAACACCTTAGTCCGACTATAATCAGAGTTTAAGAACTCTGATTATAGTCGTAGAACTCTGAACTCTGAGGGACGAAGTTTAAAAGACATTAAAGGGTTAAAATGATCGGAAATAAAACAGATTTTTATGGTTTTCAGATGATTTTAAACCAACGATGTCCAACAGGTTAGTCACATGACTCTGGAGTGGAAATCACCGCATGGAAAGGACAACTGGACAACTAAGTCCAGTTGTCCTTTCCATGAAGAATTAGAAATCATTCAGTCCGTTTCCATGACACTCGAAAAAAGACGAATTGTCGCCTTATTCCGATCAAGTCCGGCCAACTGAAGTGCGTGTAAACACCCTATGCTGCGTTTGAGTTTCCTCGGAAGTCAGATGTCGGAGCTGAAAATGACGTCACACCCGAGTTACCAGCGTTACAAAGTCGGAATAAAGCAAAATCGGAGGCCTGAAACAAGATGGCTACATCTACGAAAGTTATTTTAGCGCTTGCCTTGTATTCGTACGACTCGAACGCAGCATAAGTCCGACTATAATCGGAGTTTAAGAACTCCGATTAAGACACTCAGATAATCTGATTGGAATTTGATTTTCTCTCCCATGTAACCAGCGTAGTCGGAGTATGACGCCACGCCCCCGTAACCCCGTAACAAACCCCCAGAGTAGAGGAGTAGCGTTGGTCTCCTCTTTAGAAAAAGTAGCGCGTCCATCATGTCGGACAAAAACAACGCTGTACGATGCTCCATCTTCTTGTTTCTCCAAAATGTCCAGCAGCAGTTGTAGACACTTCTGACGTCTGACACCGACCTGCTGTTGTTGTTGAAAAGACCCATATCGCCCCCTAGTGTTGGGGAGGAGGACACGTTCACGTCAATAATTCGATTTTCTCAGCTGCATGTTTACGAAGTCTGATTGTAAACTTAGTCCGATTAAACTGAGACTGTAAACGACCTGAGTTTCAGTTTGCAGGAACGTTAAACATCCGTTTATTCCTGGACTCTCTCTTCTTCTCTCCTCTTTGTGTCTTTTTCTCTTTCCTTTGTCGGTCTTTGGAGGATGTTTGCTCAGACAAATCAGCTCTTATTTTAGTTCATGTTTGTCCTCGATGTTTACTCGGCATGTTTGAGCTCAGGATGGAGAAAGAGGGGGTTGAAAAATAACGAAGTTTAACAAATGAAAACGTTGTTTTGTATTTTATGTGAACTTTCTTCTTGCCGAGTCTTTGAACATTAGTTTAATGTGTTTAATGATGCTGTGCTCTGATTGGTTGTAGTGGTGTTGTGTCATCATTGATAAAGACAGTCTGAAAACACAGTGACCGTGTTTCTCTCTGATGGTCCGTCCGCTCTGAGCTCTCTTTGTGTAAATCTTCTCTGTGCGTGTCTGTCTTTCAGCTCTGAGCTCGACTGTTCGGGTCTGTTCCTCTTTAAAGGACTCTTCTGTCTTTTTTTGTCCGTCTGTTTGTGTCAGTTAACTGTTTCTCTCTCTAATTTTAGCTCCTGATAAACACTCTGAGCTAAATCTGCTGCAAAACAGCTGCAGGCCACAAACTGACACACACACACACACACACACACACACACACACACACACACACAAAGACAAGCACTGATGAGGCAGCATGTGACCCTGTGACTAACCAATCACACGTGTTATATAATGTCAGTGTCTGGTCTTCTTCTCACGCTCTGCTGCAGATCCTGGTGGTCTCAGTTCAGACTCACCTGTGCAGGTAAAGACTCACATCACATCTGCACACGCCCCTTTAATGAAGAGAGCAGAGCTTTAATATCATCCGCTCACATTATTACAGCATCTCAACACCCTTTCGTTTTTTCTTTTCACCATGTTGGATTGTTAGTGACTAGCAGCAGTAAACGCCAGCTCTGCTAGCGAGCGCCGTCTGCAGCTGCCTGGACAGCTACCGTGTTGACATGTCAGAGACTAATCAGAGTTATTTATGTAACATGAGATAAAAGGAGATAAAAATGACCTGTTCAACTAAAACTCTGCTGTCTCAGCGTCTCCAAGGATGACCCGATGGTTATTCACGTTAGATTCCTCGCTTGGTCACATGTCCTCTTTGACTCCACCCCTTTCTTCTGTCGGCTTGCATTTTCGGACGAGTCGGAACTACAGGAGAGGGGTGTGTCGAATACAGCGAGGTGATTGGATGGAGAGGCGGAGCAGGAGATTGACCAATAGGAGCCGTCCGGGACGGATGGCTCCCATTGGTCGATGTTTTTGCAGCCCTGCTCCTGATAGGGTGAACAGACTTTTCCCGTTCTTTTTTCTCTTTATTAATTTTATTTATTTACCTAATTAATTAGTTTTATTAATTTATTTATTTACTAACTTAATTATTATTATCTTTATTTACTTTAGTATTTTTATTTATTTATTTACTTAAATAATTTTTATTTCTTTTTATTTACTTACTTTTTAATTATTATTATATATTTACTTACTAACTTATTTTTATTTATTTTTATTTTTATCTCTACTTCATTATTTTAATTTATTTCAGTTTATTTAGTTACAAACTTATTTTTATGTTTTTTTATTTTTATCAATTTATTTATTTATTTATTATTTTTATTAACTTATTTTAATTTATATTTATTCTTATTTATTTATGAATTTACTTACCGTGTTGACATGTCAGAGACTAATCAGAGTTATTTATGTAACATGAGATAAAAGGAGATAAAAATGACCTGTTCAACTAAAACTCTGCTGTCTCTGCGTCTCCATGCGTC